CCCTTGTCGGACACACTACATCACAACTTATCTCCCACCACCAATGTTCCCTAAGCACCTCTGAATTGCTTACTGGAAGAAGTTCCCCAGTGTACAACTCGTGCATTGAATTTTGTGGCTTCCTCTCTGAAGTGGCCCCTATGGTATCTTATCAGCTGTTATCACTTCCTGCCACCCACCAATAATGTTCCCATCCTGCCCCCTATCTTACTTCTTGGAACCAACGTCTCGTCGTTGCTGTAGCCCACGCTATGAATTTGGTGACCCTCCCCTTCTAAGACCCCTGTGGTATCTTATCAGCTCTTATCAGTTCTTGTTACCTACCAATAATGTTCCCATCCTGCCCCCTATCTTACTACTTGGATCCAACGTCCCGTCGTTGCTCTGGCCGGTGTTATGAATTAGGTAACCCACTCCTTCTAAGGCTCCTTATGGTATCTTATCAGCTGTTATCACTTCCTGCCACCCACCAATAATGTTCCCATCCTGCCCCCTATCTTACTTCTTGGAACCAACGTCTCGTCGTTGCTGTAGCCCACGCTATGGATTTGGTGACCCTCCCCTTCTAAGACCCCTGTGGTATCTTATCAGCTCTTATCAGTTCTTGTTACCTACCAACAGTATTCCTGCCCGACCCCCTACAACACTTATCAGTTTGAGCGCTCTTTCGCTCTTTTGAAGGAAGTTATGAATTTCCGGTCAAACACACACACACACACACACACACACACACACACACACACACACACACACACACACACACACACACACACACACACACACACACACACACACACACACACACACACACACCAACAGACAAACTTAGCGGATTATATATAGTAGGATTTCTGATTAGGTACTATTGTATCCATAAGATGACAGCTCCTCCAAAGCTCACCGTTTGGTCTCAAAGGCAATCCTCGCGCCCAAGTTTTATGGATAAAAAAGGATAAGTCTTCGCCGTTAGTCAATCCCTTTGTGGGATGCGGCACAAATTCTACTTCTATTCATGAAGTTTTATGGATATGGAGTAACAATTATGAATCAGAAGCCAATAAGTGACTCCCCAGTGAATGAAGTAGCAAAAAAATCTCGAAAACACCCTCAAGAAAAAACCCCTCCTTGACAGTCACACATCCATTGTACCGGTCATGCTACGGACATGCAGGCAACTGGAGACCTCTAGGTATCTGTGCAACCTCCAGCTCACAAATAGTTTCTTCGCATCCCAGTATCAAATGCCATCAAATACCAGAAAACATAATTGCTGGAACAGATACATAAAGGATAAAAAAGATAAAGTCTTCTCCGGTGATCATTCCCTTTGTGGGGTGGGGCACGTATTCTATAAGGTTGGCCCATAAGTAATGGCGTTTTTTTGTCACACAAATTTTTATATGGAAAATGACAATTGTTCCCAATATGTTCTACACTGTTTGATAGATAATTTTCCGCACTATAAGATAGTATAATTGCCTTCTTACTATTTCCGACTTGTATCGATTTTTCATTTCATTGAAAGGGAAATTCGGGTCGACTCAAAAGTGAGTTTTCGACAACTACTTTTTGAATTTTAACTCGGCTCTCAATCTACAGAAGAAGCTCAAAGCTTGTGGTATATATGGCGTCTTATGGCGGCTTGAAGTTGGTTCAAGCGAACAAGGGGTGGGATTTCGGACCCTGTGAAGGAGCATCGTTTGGGGGGCATTTTTGGGTGAGGGACTGCCTGCAGAACCTACCCACTTATTTTCGAACGTCTAACATCAACTGAGGGTGGTGGTTGATAATGATAAGGAAGCATTCTATGACCTCTAACGATCCCTCAATCTTTGGCATGATTCTCAGTTAATAATTCCGTAAGCTCTCAGTTGGACAGAATAGGGCATTAGGTTCGATGCTTGTCTGTGAGGTCGAAACTGAAATCTTCGAATCACTTAAAGTATTATTAGCATTCCTAAGAGACATAGCCTTTCAGCCATATACTTAGCAGCTGGGCCCATGCGGTTTTAGCTTTTTAATTAGAGGTAAAAAAAAGAGAGGCTGTCGAAAATGCTCAATTTCGTCGACCTGACACTCCAGTTTGAGCACTTAAATATTAGTGGAAAGAGAAACTTGAAGAAAACTAAGAAGACTATCGTGTAGGGCAAGGAATTCTCTGCAAAACGGTATAAAACTCGATGGCAAAACTTTTCTTCTTCAGCGCGATATTTCGAGTAGCAAAAAAACGCCATTACTTATGGGCCGACCCAATACTTCCATTCAGAATCGTAGTGGCTTACTGAATGCGATGTGGCCTATACAATGACTTGCGGGGCCAGCCGATGTACAAGTCAGTGTTTTATCCTCCCAGACGAATCTGGTACCATTTACCTTCCTCGGAGGGTAGAGGGTTCGGTCGCCTGGGCGGGGTAGACACGGCATTTGAACCCAAGATCGCGCTAGTGGTAAGCGTGAAAGTTGTCACTACACTGGCCAAAATGACAGATAGATGGCTTGGGGGTGGTGTAAACATTAAAGGCAGGCTTCGCGATGAGCCAGCGAAAAGTTCGTAGGTGGCATGGTTGAGAGAAAGAATGGTATTGGCTAAGTGACTGGCTCGTGAAGAAAATAGGAAAGGAAACCGTCGAGAAGGCCTCGCTAATGCTCTACTCGTGCCTTCCTCACTGGCCCATCACCCGTTGCGGCAAGACTGTACTTCACTTCCGAACGGAGCGGAAATGTAACATAACGCTTATGATTTATTCGGATTTGCGAAGAACGACAACTTAAAAGAATGGCAGACAAGCAGTTTATTAAGAAGTAAGTGGTTTTCTGTTTTTTTTGAGTACATTTTGAAATGATCTCGTAATGAATTCACATTGTCGCTTAAAGTTGTATGTAACTATAAGTTTTCCATGCTCGCTTCAGCGTCTTTCGTCATTTTTGAGCCTTTTTTGCGGTACCTGAAGTAAGGCCGTTGGCAATTCACCATGAACAACGAATTTCAATCGAATTTTTCCCTTGATTGTCTGTTCTAAGAATAATCAAGCAGAATATTATCGCCTATTTGTGTGCGAGGAAAGTCGTAAATATGACCGATTCTGCAATTGACCCGCCAAGATAGGGGGCGCCGAAAAGGGAGGTACAATGGTTGACAGCATCTTCCTAAGCAACCACTGTGGCGATCTCGTATGACTGCTCCTGGTTGTACAAGTGGGGATGGTCACGTTTAGCGGGATCTGATAAGATCCCGCTAAACGGCCACCAGAAGTCGGAACGGCGCACAGCGGGGGTAAGGTGAAGGAGTGGCCGGTGTGGCTTGTTACAATCATACAGCGACGCGACGAAGGTAACCTGTTAGACAGAGGCGTCATAACGTGCGTGGAATTAGCGCCAAGAGGTGAGTGAGTAGCCGTGGATGCGCTGCAGTATGTCGAGTCAAGCAGCTGGGAAGTACTAACCAGATTGTGCTCGTCACTCAACCGGGGATACGACGTCTCACACCCAGGAGAAAGGTTTAAACTACTCCCAATTCCATCAGGGTTACATCTTATCCCGATAGGATTTTCTCGGTTTTTACCTGACTATTTATGAGGTGGCAACCTGAGATTTATGAGGGCAAAAAGTTACTACTGTGTTGGCGAATCTGATCTGGGATGTGGTGAGAGATAACCCTAGAAGAAGGATAAGAAGAAAGAACTGTGAGTAGGAAAGACAAAAGCAAGCACTTTCTCTCCACGTCAATCGTATCTGCAGTGCGCATTATAGACCGCTGGCCTACTTGGCCGCTCATCTCCATCGTGCCAACAGTACCGTCCTGTAACATAGATCTGAGTCGGAGAGCATTACAATTACAGTGCTCTGTAAGATAACTCACCGCTGTGCGGCTATCTCGAGTTTGGGTCTCCATACCCGGGATAACGTCACTGTATTTCCATTTGAACAGCGTCAACTCTTTCCCTTTCACATTAGAACCACATCTACTTTCTCCTCGTAGTATCACTTTGTCCTGAAAAAATTATTATATGACAGAACAAAACCAAGATGAAGTAGCTCCAGTAGCCAAAAATGTTTCGTACATTCGACCTGGTCTGTTCCCAGGTGTAGTCTTTTCAGTCACAATAGGAGCACTATTGAAACATACATTCCGCGATCTCCCAAAAGATGAAATCCTTTCCTTCAGAATGATGCACAAACCACTGGCGCATAGGAAACATCACTTTCAGAGAACAAGTATGCCAAGGCCGCCACTGTACTTTTAATCATGCAGTTCTCTGCCCAGTGATGTGAACGGTCACCCATCACTTGAATGTTGACCTTCTTCACTGATTTTGCTGTTGTGGTTCTTTGCCGGCCCGCTGCTCAGTAACTTGCAAGCGCGTTGAATGCCTCTTCGCTTCCAATTCATTCGCATGCTCATTCAACTACGGAAATCAGCGAGAGGCAATATGGGCAGAGTCAGGCCCACCGTCCTGCCGTCCTCATTGGTGCGCCTCTTTTTTCTACGACGATGAGAAGAACGCGATGAGAGCGACACCGCTAATACGAGCAACGTGAAACGGTGCCCTCAACCAGAAAAAAAAACGCAAATCAAAATATCACTGCTAAAGGAACCTATAAGTTTTCAAAATGATCACAAAGCCAGTGACCAGCAAAATAGGCATTACCTCAGGAGAGAGTAATAGAGATCGACGCGGTGCCATCGGTTCATAGGCAAATGCATTCAGTTCGGCAGATGTGAGAAATAATGATGGAAGGGTAGGAGCACCAGAAGGTCCAGAGCCCACTCCAATGAACTTGTCGCCCTTGTAAATCTGGAATTGAGCTGATCCTCGGGATGTTGGAATGCTTCAGTTGATCCACATGCTACATTTCTGAGACACTAGAGTAAGAGCGGTCATGGCGGGGCGCAACGCGTAGCACACTCGGCTGGAAAGCGTGAGACGCGGGTTTGAGTTCTGCCTAGAGTTAGACTCTGATAACTCAGCTTTCCGTGATAACTTTTAGAGCGCGAACAGCGGCTCAAACAGCAGTCAACATACTAAAACAATATGAAGCACTATTTTTCTTTTTAGGATGAAGTGGTGTGTGGCAAGAAGCGCTTCTGGGTCCAATTCTGTCCAGGGCAAGAGCGAGAGCGCAGGCGGCGCAGGAAGGTTTTTTATACACTCATGACTCCTCCCTAACTAGATTAACAGCAGGTCAGAGACACCCAGCCGCCACGACACAACTCACCAATTAAGTAGCTTCGCAACTTTGTAGGCACTCCCTGCCTAGGAGCTGTGATAACGAATTTATACGCCGGAAAACCGACACACCGATCTGTTGACTTAACAATTGGGCTATGACGCGCGCCACACCACCGATAATATTCCTGTCACATACTCTACAAGGGGGAGGGGGCAACAAAAAAAAGATACTTTCTTCCTTAACTCTCAAGGCGCTATAAGTAACTTTTTGAATGTTGATTGGACATTTCCACCATCATGTTCAACAACACATTGTACACTATCACGACA